AAAAAAATAAAAGTTGGAAAGCTTAAAGAAACTTCAGTTCTGAAAGTGCTTATATCAAAAATCTTATTCTCTGTCACTACAGATCCTCATTCATTTTATACAAACAAGCCAACAGAATACTTCACTGTATCAATCCTACAAAACTGGAAGTAGGATGATGGTAGAATACAGAGATTAGTGAAAACTGAAGAATCACCTCAAATATAACTTGAAGAACAGTGTGACAGAGAAATGTATGGATGGCTTATCATGTTCTTTAATTCACACGTTTGAGAGTGTTAGGTTATCCTAGAGCATCCAGGGGCATTAGCTTGAAGGAAATCAATTTCAGGGAAGAAGGGAATGCATCTACAAAGACTATCATCATAACCCTTGTGGATGTACATGGCAGGGTGTGTGTGTGTGTGTGAGAGAGAGAGAGACAGACAGATAGATAACAGGACGGCCTTGAGTAAACATAAAAAGCAGGCTTCTCACCTAGTTAAGGTCCTTCGGGAATCAAACTCTACAGGCGGGGATGACGTGGACCCTGAAGATGCTGGAGGTTGCAGAGCAGAGAATCTGTTTAAACTGGAAGCACTTGCCCGTAAGGCATCTACAGGTGTTGAGATTTAGAAAAAAACACAAATCACATGACTTAAATGCAAATAATCAGTCACCCGCCTCCCTGGGTGGGGCCTGAGACCAGGCATTTTTTAATCAGCTTAGGTGATGCCAATCTCTTGGTCCATCTACCATCCTCCGAGAAGCAAAGTGTTAAGTAGGAAATCTGTATGTAAAGGAAGGTTTAGAAATCTTTGTTCATTACAACGATTTGCTCCTTTAAAAACATAATTATCTTGGTCAGGGCGCAGGGTTGGGAGTGGCAAATAGGAGGTAAGGGAGGAAAGCAAAAACAGAGAACACTGCACTTCAACAAAGCTAACCAAGGTAAATGCTATGACCTCATGCACGTAAAAATATGCATGTGGGTTTAAATGAGTAATGAAATTTTTAAAAATTTAAAGAAAAAAAAGGCTGAAATTAGTAGAAGGGACATATGGGAAGAAGGTTAACACTGAAATTTTTCTTCTTTCCACTGGGCTTCTTCAGCTATTAAGATGTGTTTGTGATGTTCCAAACATTTTCAGTCCTAAGGTCAAATCTCTCAAAATCTGATTTTTTAATGAAGATTTTGCAAATGTTTCAATCCAGTTCTTTATTCTTTTACAACTCCTTGTGATTAAATATTTCTACATATTAAGATTCCTTCTATCAGCATAATTATTTTCCTTTTAATTTGGAGTCCCAGTAATTTCTCTAACTACATTGAATTTGTGAACAACACGGGAACCTAAAAAATCAAAGTGTTAAATAGCCTAACTGAACTAAAAGATTTTTTAAAATATTTAAAATTATCTAAAGATACTTACAGAGGAGGAAACTCTTGATTTATATCAGAAGGAGAGGGCCACCAATAAAAGTTTGGAAGATGTTTTCTTAAAATCATTATTTAATGACTATGGGAACGTGCTGTAAGGTGAACACTAACAGAACACATCTAGGTTTGAGGAGGGACGTTCAGTACTTACCAGTCTCACTTGCCTTTGCTCCGCCACTGCTGCCTTTCCCCCAGCTGCCTAGCTGTGCTTTAGGTACCAGCTGAATTTTCTCATCAATTGTGGGCTATAACATAAGTGACCACAAGTCAATGATAGGAAATATTCTAGAAGAGTAGTTTTTCTTGTATTCTTCTTCAGTGCGTTAGAACCAATTTAGCAACGAAACTGTGTTTGGAATGCCAACTGAAGAAACATAAACTGGGGCAAGGCGTGGTGGCTCACGCCTATAATCCCAGCACTTTGGGAGGCCAAAGTGGGAAGACTGCTTGAGCCCAGGAGTTCAAGACCAGCCTGGGCAACATGGTGAGACACTGTCTCTATGAAAAATAAAAAAATAAGCTGGATGTGGTGGTGTGTACCTATAGTCCCAGCTACTTGGGAGGCTGAGGCAGGAGGATCCCTTGAGCCCAGAAGTGTGAGGTTGCAGTGAGCTATGATGACACCACTGCACTCCAGCCTGGGCAAATAGAATGAGACCCTGTCTCAAAAACCAAAAAACCCCCCATAAATTGGAGGTGTTCTCAGGACTAGCATCCCTGTGGCCCCTGCCTTGGATTCCAGTTTCCACAAAATACAGTTGTGAAGGCACTGGTCTGAGAATGCATTCAGGACTTCCTATTTAAGATGGCTTATTAATTTGCTAAATATTATAAGTAGTTTCTAATGATTCTTTTTATACAATAATGCCAAGTAATTTAAAAAAGAAAAAAAAGGAATACACAAATACTGTAAAATCAACTCATTAATCTCCTTACATGATTGTCAGAAAACAGGTCAATAGACACCCAAAAATTTCATGTTGGGGCTAGGGATAGGGAGGTGAAATGTGATTCAGTAAAGGAGAAGAAAAAAGAGAACGGAACATTAGGCTGGGAGTTCAGGGAGTTCAGGTGGCTAATACCTATCTCATTTAACCTGCCAAGCACTTGAGTACAAGTGAAATGAATTACATTGTAATGCATACTAAGAAACACATGTATTAATAATATAAGAGCTATAATACAGCTCTTTGTAACAAAGGTATTTCTATGTTCTGACAGCTCATAATATGCTGCCTTTCTATTTAACATGTTTTCACACAAATCTTTCCCAATTAACAGTAAATATGTTTGATCTGTTTTGAACTTTTTCTAGGATATTCATGTAGAGTACCTACAGTCTAATTATCTGAATACACAGAGGTTGACACTTTTTATATTTTTCAAAGTATTAAGGTAGTAATATTAGAGTAATATTAGATAGCAGCATCATTCTTTTTAATAGTGTCCATGAATAGAAACTGTAATATTTAAAAACACAAATGTTATTAAATACTGATATAATTTTCAAAGATGTTGGGGCTGATGGAGGAATTCTTTTATGTGTATGTGTTTGATTAGTAATTTATTAAATCCACCTGTCAAGTGATCCATTCTGTATGGAGCCTTTGAAACGATGTTTTCAGAGTTTATTTACAAGCACTGAAAACAGATGGTTCTGTAAAACTTACAAGTAATTATAGGCTCCTTAAACTCACAATATACATTATTTCAACATTTGAACAAAAGCCCATTTTCTTCAAAAATAATTTTCTGCTGCTTTCTCATAAAAATATTAAAAAAAGTTTAACATTTACAGTTTTAAAAACCTACATATAACTCAAATTAAGATTTTTCTACCTCTTTCCAAAAAGTTTAAAAACATCACAGAATAATGTGATGTTAAACCAATCTCACCACAATAAGAGCATTTTACTTTTAAGAAATATTGTGCAGTCTTTCCTTTTTAACCTTTCATTCTAGATTTCAACTAAGTATATGCTATAAAAAACAAATCTAATTAATCCCAGTCATTCATATTTATGCAGTACACTGTCATACATGACCAGTTATCATATCAACTGTAATACCATAATTGCAAAAATGGCAAAAGTCAATCTTTATGAAAGCTTAAAACAAGTTTTAATACAAGGTGACAAATATTGCCCTAATTTTCTATAAAAATTACCTCTCTTCCTTCTACCTATTTCCTCTTTGAATAGTACCTTTTATAGCATGTTAATACACAAGATGCAATTTTCCTTAAGTTAGCCTTGTACATGGTTGCTTTGTTTTCTAATACACAAATTTATCAGAAGGCACTGAGACTGGACCCTAAGGAGTTTCAGATTTTTTGTCACTTTTTAGGTTCCTCTAGAATGATTTTCCTCAGACAAGGATAAAAGAATAATTGAGAAGAACTTAAGGAACCAGAAGAAAATGAATGATACAACATAGCAACTTGAAACTTGTAGCATTTGAAAGGTATAAATAAATCAATAGGTTCCTAGAACTTATCATTTAAGACAAACAGAACGACATTCTCAATATATACATAAAAATGGACCACATTTATTAACAATAGGAAAACTCTTAAGCTTATAGTAACAATGTATTAAATCTTATATAGCAACACACAGCCAAAAGCATTAGAAATCCGTCGCCAGATATTCTGATGTACTATCCTAAAAACAAGGGTGATACAAACCATTAACATAGAGTATGGCATTTATTTCAGGAGAAAAGACACGTTTCATCACAAAAACAGATTTACAGATTTCAGCTTTAAATACGTTCTAGAGAAATATTTTAAAGATAAAAAAGAAAAGACTCACCTTCAAAATAAAAGTATATATAATTCATTATAAATACTCTTTATGCTTTTACAATGTAAAACATTTAGAAACTTTTGAATTCTAGGTATTTTTACCAGTTAACCTATTTGGCCATAACGTATCCTAAATTCCTTTTGAGAATTACATTAATGTTTTCGGTCCATCAGTCCAATATAGATGGAGCAATTCTACTTCTTTTTCTTCTTTTGTGGTTCTTCCCTAGCGGTGCTATCTGTTCTGGTGCTGCTGCTACTGGAAGAGCTGGAAGGTGAGTCTGAACCAGAGGAGGAGGAAGAGGTTGTGGAGGAGGCCGAAGATAATGAACTAGAGGAGTTTTCATCAGTGTCACTGTCTTCTGAGGAGGATGAGGCAGACGTTTCTTTCACTCTGATTAAGAATCACTAGCTGAACCATCATTGCTATTGCTACTGGAACTGGTTACACTCTTAGAGCTTTTCTTCTTGGTCTTTCTATATTAGTTTCTCTAATGCTTTGTTATAACAATTATCTTTTTTTTCTTCTTTTAAAGCTTTTTTTAGTTCTGCTGTTCTTAAAGGCCTATGTAGATATTTTCTTTTTCCTATGCATTCATAAGCCCAATGTTCAAATTCCAAGCATTTCGGACATCTTACATTTTGCTTATTTGCTTCAACTTGTCTCTGGGCTATGAGCTGATACATGCGAGTCGCCATCTTAGTGCAGCTGAGGCCTGCTGAGCTGGGTTTTGGGAAACTCCTCAGATGGAACGGGGACTTCAAACACACTGGAGGAATTCTTTAATCATAAGGTTTTGGTTAAAACTGTCTCTAGCTGGAAATGGAGATGGATGGGAATCAAGTTGTATTCAGCAATGGAATTCCTGCTCTGAGACATAAGTAACTAGAAGAATGCATAAGAATCTTGGAGAATAGGATCCTAGCTAATTACAGCATTGAGAGATCCAGAGGAGAAATGTTCTTTTATTTATTTATTTTTTTGTGAGACAGGGTCTTGCTCTATTGCCTGCGCTAGAGTGCAGTGGCATCATCACAGCTCACTGCAACCTCAAGCTCCTGGGCTCGAGGGATCCTCCTGGCTCAGCTTCCCTAGTAGCCAGGTCTACAGGCACATGCCACCACATCTGGCTAATTTTTACATTTTTTTGTAGAGAAGGGGTCTCACTATGTTGCTCAGGCTCGTCTTGAATTCCTGGCCTCAAGTGATCCTCCTGCCTTAGCCTCCCAAAGTGCTAGGATTATAAGCATGTGCCACAGTGCCTGGCCTGAGAGCGGGAAGGTTCTAACATGAAGCAAAGTTGGTGTTTTGTTTTTTGTTTTTTTTTGGAGACAGAGTCTCACTCTGTTGCCCAGGCTAGAGTGCAGTGGCGTCAGCCTAGCTCACAGTAACCTCAAACTCCTGGGCTAAAGCAATCCTTCTGCCTCAGCCTCCCGAGTAGCTGGGACTACAGGTATGCAACACCATGCCCAGGTAATTTTTTCTATATATTTTTAGTTGTCCAGCTAATTTCTCTCTATTTTTAGTAGAGATGGGGTCTCACTCTTGATCAGGCTGGTCTTGAACTCCCGACCTCGAGCGATCCTCCTGACTTGGCCTCCTAGAGTGCTAGGATTACAGGTGTGAGCCACCGTGCCCAGCCCATGAAGCAGTTTTGGGAAAACCATGAAAATACAAGCGACAGTTCATTTTATTCTTATTTTCTCAAAGACTTTTAATTTTTGTCAGTTATCTTCTTTTATTTCATGTTTTCACATTAGCTTTAGATTGTCTTTAGTATTCTGCTGGCAGGCTGCCAATTTTCAGAACTATGGAACATATATTACAAGTAAGGATCAAACTAGACTTGCAAACAGTTTGAAAAACCCACGGGACTGTAGAACTTTCTACTTTCACCAAATTTAATTCCAGTTTCTCCACATTCTCCAAAGTTCTTCATCCTACTTTTAGTAATTAATTTCTACTGCTGAAAACATCTGCTAGGAGAAACTTCTTTCCTCTTATTGCCCACAGACTCTCAGGAGAGAGGAAAGTAGAGTATATTAAATCTTTATTACAAAGTGATTTCTAGTAGGTCCTCTGTGATTTCTTTAGGCCTTGGATATGGCAAACCATACCCCATTAATTCCTTTCATGGTCAGATTTAAACAGGTAACTGCCTCTTCCCCAGAGGTAAGGATACACTGTAGAAAAGCTTGCAATTGACTAAGGCTTATGAAGTATTTTTGTTGTCATATCTCTTATATTAAGCATCTCCTAACTCTAGGAATTAACCCAGTCATTTCCTCTTTAGGAAAACCTCATAGAAATAAAAAGACTAATGCCAAGACAAGTATGTAGAATACAGTGATCAATACTGACTTGTAGAAAAGTGTCTGCATTAAAAAACAACCACCACACAAAATTCGCAATATTGCAATTTTATATGAGCAGGAAGTACTTTTGAGACTCATGTTTTGGAACTGTTGTAAATTGTATTAAAAAATTTTTATATCAAAGGCATCAAAAGAGAATGTTGATTGTGTTTTAAACATCCCACTCACCTTAGTAATTTTCAGGAATTTTGAGGGGTCCAGTACCCGACTATTCTTGGCTCCTTGTACAGTGTTCCACCCACCTTCGTCCACTCTCTGGACGCCTACAGGGAGAGTACGAACAGAGTAAGCCAGTCTTTCACTTGTTTCATGTCAGTTTGACAGGGAAAGAGTGAGCCACATTTTCAACTCATTCACTTCAATCAAAACCAAGGAAAAAGACAAAAGAAGCTGTTAAAGCATTGCTGACAGATTCTTTAATACCCACAGCATGAAAATATAAGCAGAAGCACTCTGCTTATATTGGATCTCCCACGAAACATTACTGACCTAGAAAAAAACCAATCGACACAAATGAATATTCCCAGGCAGGGCCAAATCTAGTGTTTATAGAGTTAATGACTAGAACACTTTGGGAGAAGTAAGATGGAAATTATTTATTCTGAAGTTTATTGCACTTATTGGTGTCAAGTGACACATGTATGCTTTGATCTTCCCCCAAATCTGCTTATCCCACATTTCAGCTGCTCAGGCAGAAAAAGTTGACTCCTCTTTCTCTCACACTTCACATCCAATTTGTCAGCAAATGTTGTCAGTTCAACCTTTACAGTATGTTCAGAATCTAGTCCCTTCTAACTACTACCAACATTAGCAGTTTTGTTTAAGACACCAACATCTCTTTCCTGGATTACTGTACAAACCTCCTCTTTGGCTTCCCTGCTTCCACCCTTAGCTATTTTCATCATAGTAGCCAGTGTATTCCCAGTAAAGTATAAGCCAGATTCTGTTACTTTTCTGTTCAAAACACTTCTGATACCTTTCTATATCACTCAGAGAAAAAGATAAGATTCTATACAAATGGCCTACCAAGCTCTAAATAATCTGGCCCCTCTTGGCTCTCAGTCCCAATCTTCTACCCTTCTTCCCCTTTGGCCCTTAGCTTCAGCCACACTGGACTCCTTGCTGTTCCTTGAAAATACTGCTTCAGGGCCTTTATACTTAGTATTCCCTTTGCCTAAAACCCTCTCTCCCCAGATAGCCACAATTTAACACTCCCTCACCTGCTTCAGGACTTTGCTCAAATAATACCAACCTTAATAGATTCTCCAACCTACTTATTTAAAATTGCAACCCTACTCACCATAAGCCCTGCACTCCTCACTTCATCTCCCTTCTTTTTCTATGGAACAATTTTATTTGACAAATTATATACATTATATCATATATATAAAATGTTATATTGACAAATTATATTATATTTTTCTTAAGTATTTGTTTACTGTCTTTTCCATCCCAGTAAGGTATAAACTGGATGAGGAAAGGGATTTTGTCTCTCACTAAGTGACAGACACTCAATAAATATTCTTTGAATGAATGAATGAAAAATCACCAAACTGTCTATCCAAAAGCTTTCCTGATCCTAACATACTTCTTGATTTTCTATGAGCTTCCTGATTCTAACATACTTCTTGATTTTCTATGAGCTGTCTGATATTACTGATCTTAAAAAGACTTGCTTCTTCCTTGTTTCTGTGACTCATACATCCTAGTTCTCTCTCTCCATGTGCTCTATATCTGTCATTTTTCCAAAAGTTCTTTTCCTCCTTTAGTCATCTGTGGACATCCTCCAAGAATTAGGTTTTGATATCTTCTCCTTTCCTCTCTCAACCTAGTTCAATAATAAATAAGTCATTACCTGAGATGTACTGTGATAGGTACTAAGTGTGCGGAAGATGAGTCAGGTGCGGCATCTCATGAAACATAAAAGTAATCTTTCTTCCCTGGAGAATTCCTCTGTCCTAACAATTTTACTATGAACTCTAGTCTGTCTGTGATAATAGCTAGTGGTTACTGAGTATTTACTATGAGCCAGATGTTACAATGAATACTTTAAATATTACCTCATTTCATTCTCACACAGATCCTAGGTACTACTATTAGTTCCATTTTACAGATAAAGTGATTTGTGCAAGGTCATACAGCTAGGAAGTAGGAGAGCTGAAATTCAAAGCCAGACAGTTAGGCTCCAGCGTTTATGCTCTCAACCACTACACTGTATGACCCAGTCAGTACCCTGATCACTTAACTGCACAGTGGATTAATGAGTGTTCCCATTTGACTGTCCTATGATCATCTCAAAATAAAGAGGCTCAAAAGAAAAATTATCATTTCCCTCTGAAGTTGTTTTCCTTTTCCAATGTTCCTAAACTTAGTCAATGGACTATTTTCTCAGGTGTAAAATGCTTTCTATTTCATCTTTTGTATTTTTTTGCATCTGTTTCTTCCTTTCTATTCTTATTGCTACAAAGTCTCACCTTACAAGCAGGATTTCAGCAACAGTAACATTACTGATCCAGAGTAGCCCTTGGATTCATTGTGCAAAGAACAATAGAGTGATTCTTATTAGATACCTCTAGCGTAACATTATTCTTTGTTGAATGGCTCTTTAATGTCTACCAAATCAAGTCAAAAGTTCTCAGTCTGGTCCCATTCTTGCAAACATTTTTTCATTCCTTCTGAATACTTAAATTTTGCTCCAATCGGTCTTGTTCATTTCTTTTTACAACATGTTTATTTTAATTACATGACTAAAACTGTTCTCTTCCAAATATCAACAATCCTTCAAGATCTAGGTTCAAGTGCTCCTTCCTCAAATAAAGATTTCTGCCAGCTTTCTATCTCTCTTCTCTAAATTTTAACAACCTTAATGTAGAACACTTTTCATAACTGATAATATCTTCCATTTGCTTGACAAATGTTCCCTGTATTAGTTTTACCTTGCCAGATAAGTTGCAAGCTTTTAGAGAGAAGGAACTATATTTCCCACTTCTATCTCTGACCACTACTGAGTATATAGAAGATGTCCAATAAAGTCTTATCGATTAATGGCTTTTAAGTAGTCAAAGAAATCATGTTCATGCAATCTCTGCTTTTACTCAATAACTAGTCTCCAGGTGAAACTGCTTCATTTTTCTTTCTGATCTCATATTACATCTAAAGAGAGAATTCTTAAATATGTGTCCCCCAAACTTTCAGGTTCTCTAAAGTCAGGTAGACTCTATCCCTCACCTGGTCTTCTCTTCTCCTTGGTCATGAGCTGCTGGACCTTCCTTTGTTCTTCTTGTTCTTCTATTTTAGCCTCTTTGTGAATCTGTTCAATAGTT